ACACTTGCATGTCTTACATGTGAATAGCCTCAATCCGACTCAATTACGACTACTACTTTTATGTGTTTCCTTTTTTTCATTCGCAACCTCATGTGAGATCTTATCTCATTGTCAAGCATGGGGAAAAGCTTAATTTAGGGCAGGCACGATTGGCTCACCTCCCTAGCTTGCAGAGGAACGACAGGGGAAGAGTTTTCACCGGCACAAGAGCGCAACCAATCTGTAAAGAAGTACAGAAAGGGATACTCAAGTCTCTAGCCTGTCTCTCCCTGTCGTTTGCGGGGCCTTTGTACTGGGGCCTATGCGGCCCACTTTCTTCAATGGTGCGTAACCTCTGGATTTGAACCGAAAGGTTGTGCAAATAAGCAAGGAGCTCCCCTTGGGGGTGCTGCATCAAAACTTGCTCGAACCATTGAAACTCCTTCGACTGCACATCTTGCTTCATCCCCCACAAAAAGAAGCCTGGCGTGGCTCCCTCAACTTGTGGAAAAAACAAGGCCCTCTCAGCTAAAGCCTGCGAGAACTCCCAGTCAAACTGACCAAAGCACCGCTTTTGAATCTCGTCAGCGACTGGGAAGAAGATCCCTCCGCTTTTCAACTCTTGCCTGCATTCCAGGAAGTCGCCTTCGATCACCTCAAGGTCAGTCTCCAGGGCTCCACATTGCTTCGGCCCTTGGAGCTGGAGCGCTTCCTTCCTTTTCAAACCCGGAAGGTCAGTGAAATCTGACCCACCCCAGGTCCGGCTGTCGTGAAAAGAGGTGGCTCGAAGCCACTCATAACATCTGTTGGGCACTCCTCGTCGAGACATGTAACGGAGGTGTCCCTGTGCTCTGCTCAAGGACCAAAAGAATCTCAAGCAGACAGCGCAAGCTGGATGGCTCAAAGTCATATGCCCTTTCCGCATGCGCATGGACTCTATGCATGCGTAGTGCCTTTTCTGACCGAAAATGGGCACCACACTGGCAATCAAAGTTTTTTCGAGGGAGCAGCTGCTGCTTGAGGACCTCCTTAGTAACCCTTCCATTGGACAGGTCGGCACCCAGCACAAGCTCCCGCACCAATGAGTGGTACGCCGCCTTCAAGTCAAAGAAGAGGATGCAGGTAGGAAGCTGGCAGCTGTACGCATAGCCCGCATAGCGCACAAAAAGCCTCATAGCCAGGCTGCCGAAGGCTGCTTCCTGGCGCGGCAGTCCCAATTTGCCCAACTCACCGCTCTTTCTCCAACTCTTCCATCAGCATAGGTCGAAAGCATGCATGCGCGCGCCTGGGCAAGAGGTTGAGAAGCATGATCCCTCGAAATTGGTGCACTTGCGTAGAAATCACCAATTTCGGTATCATTTTCAGAACTCCTCCTTTCCGAAATATTGCTTCCACGCAATGGACCATTGACTTCAAAAGGAGGTCAAAAA